ACAGGTAGTTTGAGAGTGGTCATAAAAGAAAGATGAGGTTCTAAGCCATGTAGATGGAGATAAAGTAAGAAAATATATTCAAATAAAATTTACACTTTACATGGATAACCTATCTCTAAAATCAATTAAGGAAACTAAACTTAAATATAAATGAATTAAAGCAGGTGCAAAGGTATAAAACACAGCCATGATCTGTGCATGGTTACGTTTTATTTAATCGAGAGGAAAAAAATCTCAGGTGCGATAACAGCATTTTGACACCCCCATGTTTCTTGAAAGGATATTTTAATATCTTCTTTATAAACATGCAACAATAGCCAAATTCAGTAATTTGTTGTTATTTGCAAACTATAGCTGCATTAAATTTGTAAAATTGCTTTGCACGTGGTAAAAGTTTACATATGTATATCTTCCGTCCATCAATTTGCACAGTTTTTTCATATGATCTACATATTGATGAAGAGATGGAAAAAAAAAAACACATGCCATCTGCTGATTGCAAAAACAAATCTCTTAAAAGATCTGCTCTACAAACATGCACTTGTTTGAAGAAGCCAACCTTCTGAGGATTAGGCTTCTAGTCTCCTGCAACTCATTTCTCTGCAGCAGTCGTGCCTCTGAGTGATCACTAGAGATATTCAAAATGTCATCTAGCTATTCCAGTCTGCCCTTATCCTCTTCAGAAACCTCTACCATGCTCTATTGTTTTGAAATTACCTCCTGAAACCAATGATGAGCTGAAACTAAATATATTTTAATTTAGAATTGGATTTTAAAAAATTTAGAGGAAAACAATAGGGTAAAGATTTAATCTAACCATGATCAGTGGCCTTATGTCACCAGCTCCATGTTACTACAACAAAATGACATTACTGATCCTGACATCTAGTTTTAGAAAAAGAAATAACAGTATAAGTGGGTCTAACTCAGGCATGGCCAAAGTCAGACCTCCAAGGCTGCTGTCCTGCAGGTTTTACAGGCTTCCCTGCTCCCTGATATCATAGATAGCTTATTGACAGGATTTTGCTGAACTGCAATCATCAGAATCAGCTGTGCTAAAGCAGGGGAACCTCAAAACCATGCAGGACAGCGGCCCTCAAGGACTGACTTTGGGCATGCCTGGTCTAACTTACTGCTTTTTTGTAAAAAAAAAAAATGTAAAAAAAGACTAGGTACCAAATTTCATTTTAGTTAAAGTTACTCTTTTGAGAACATTTTTTATTTAACAGATTGGGCTTCTGAAGCCTATTTCAGTCTCATTGAAGTGATGTCTCCTTATCAGTCCAACATCACAACCCCTGGCGGAAATTATGGGATCACCGGCCTCGGAGGATGTTCATCAGTTTTTTCATTTTGTAGGCTTTAAGAAACACCAAAAAATAAAAAAAAATAAAAATCAAGAAAATAAAATGTGATAGACAGTAACTGTTTTTTTAGACCAAGCAGAGGGGGGAAAATTATTTAATCACTAAATTAAAACTAACACCTGCATCAAATGGGATCTGCTCGTTAGTCTGCATCTAAAAAGGAGAGATCACACCTTGCAGAGCAGCTGCACCAAGTGGACTGACATGAATCATGGCTCCAACACGAGAGATGTCAATTGGAACAAAGGAGGATTATCAAACTCACAAAAGCGGGTAAATCATCAGGCAATGTTGCAAAAGATGTTGGTTTTTCACAGTCAGCTGTGAACCAAAAACAAATGACATAGGAAGGTTGTTAAAGGCAAACATACTGGTAGACCAAGGAAGACGTCAAACGCCAAGATAGAAAACTTAAAGCACCATGTCTCAAAAACCAAAATGCACAACAAAACAAATGACGATTGACTGGGAGGAAACTGGAGTCAACGTCTGTGACCGATCTGTAGGAAACCGCCTAAAGGAGGTGGGATTAACATACAGAAAAGCTAAACGAAAGCCATAATTAACACCTAAACAGAAACAAACAAGGTTACAATGGGCTAAGGAAAAGCAATCATGGACCGTGGATGAAAGTTATATTTAGTGATGAATGCCCAATCTGCATTGGGCAAGGTGATGATGCTGGATCTTTGGTTTGGTGCCGTTCCAATGAGACTTTATAAAGAGGAATGCCTAAAGAGGACATGCACATTTCCACAATGATGATATGGGGCCCTCATTACATCTTCTATAAATGCAAACGTTTACATTGGATTTTGGACACTTTTCTTCTCTTATCAGTTAACAGAAAGTTTGGGGATGATGAAATCGTTTTTCAAAAAATAATATTGAAAAAATACACATAATGTTAATGTCATGGCCTGCAAATAATCTGGATCTTAATCCAATTGAAGATCTTTAGTGGAAGTTGAAGAAAATGGTCCACGACAAGGCTCCAACCGGCAAAGCTGATCTGGCAAAAGCAATCAGAGAAAGCTGGAGCCAGATTGATGAAGAGTAGAGTCCTGTTTGTCACTCATTAAGTTCACGCCTCAGAGATTGCAAGCTGTTATAAAAGCCAGAGTTGGTGCAACAAAATACCAGTGATGTGTTGGAGTCTTCTTGTTTTTCATGATTCCATTATTTTTTTTTCCATAGAATTCAGTGATTCGATATTATTTTCCCTCTGCTTGGTCAAAAAAAATAACAGTTACTATTAATTTTTTCCCCCCATGAGATATATTATTTTTATTTTTTTGTGTGTGTGTTTCTTAAAGCCAGAGAGCTGCCATTTGAAATGACTTTAGTTTTGTGTCATGTCTGTGATCTTCTTATTTTCTACTAAATTAAACTGAGTGAACGATGATTTCATAATTCTTTCCAGGGATTGTACTTTTTTTCCCCTCAGGCAGGCAGACACTTAATCGAGTCTTTGGTTTCCTTTTCTTCACAGAAAAGTAACATGATTATAAATCCAAAAAATAAATCAAAGAATCAGTGGTCAAAGATGTCATCAAACATCCCTGAGCAGCTGGCTTCACTTTGTCTAAAAAGCATTCAACTAAGAAGATTAAAAAAAAAAGCAAAAGTGAATTTTGTAAAGGATTGAAATGACCAGCATGTCTAATTTTCCATCTAAAACTATCAGACCTTTAAAAACTTATGATCACTTTAACATCATGAGGCACGGACAAGCATGTAGTTTTCTATGTTAGGCACTTTTATTGACTTTGTATGAATGTTCAACAAACAGAAATTGTTAATAAAGATAACGACCCAGTTTCATCACACTGGTTCAACAGTACAGTTCTGTAGACTTGTATACTGATTGGGTTTGTAGTGTTTTAGCAAATAACAGTATGTAAAAAACTTTAGTGTTAGACCTTTAAACCTACAGAACACAAAAGTGTCACCGTTAAACCTGAAGGACAAAAAGATTACGGATTAGATCAAAAGATTGGTTAAGATGCAGAAGTAAATTTCTCATTTGTAAGATCAAGGATGTTCAATTATTATTTTCAATTATTATTAATTAGATTAAGCTGAAAAATGAAGACAGGAGTGCTTCACATAACTGAGTGTTAAGAGGAGAGTTTCTCTGCATAAACAAACACACCTCTTCAAATCTAAACAAATGTCCTCCTTGGGTTAAGTTTGTGCCGCTTTACTTCCAGACCTGCTGAATATCAGATTTGTCAGACTGTTAAGTACTTAAAGTAGTACAAAGCTATGAAAAATATAATCAGTGTAAAGGCATTAGAGACTCGCTCAGAAATCACAACAGCACGACACAACAGCATCAGGAGTCACACAAAGCTGGCCCAGGGGTACCTGCTGCTTTAGGACAGCTAATGAGTTCACTGCTGCAGGAGATAAATATTCAAGTCAAGATTTAAATCACAGATTTAATTATGTATCAGGTTTTATATTTTCATCTGACCAAATTGAATTAATCTTCCTTTTTTTTAGGTTTGAGCATGCAACTTAGAAACTGTAACAACAGAATACCCCTGAGTGGCAATGCTTACAACTTCTATCAACTTGGCCTGCCAAGTCTTACCACTAGAGGGCACTCTGGTTTCAACAAAAAGTGGACATTTCACTGCAAACTTGAGGAAACAACAGATCTGCAGACTCAAACCCAGCATACAGCCAACACAAAGCCTCATGTTGTCCTTTTGATGGACATGAATTCACCCACTCTGTAGTAGTTTTACATCAACAACAACTCTGAGTTTGGACCTCCAGGATTCGGTAGCTGTAGAGTCTCATTCATAGAAAGTAGATAACATGCACAACTGAGGAGATTCTTTAAAAGGACAGATTCACATTTCTAAATGCATCTTAGCTACAGACAGTGAGGCCTGATTTTGCTGAAAGTAGTCATTTTTTCTGGATCAAAATGCAGCTGTTATTCCTCAGTATTCCATTTTAAGAGGCGGACTGTTAAAAAATAAATACTTGCTCTAATAGCTAAAAAGAGGTCAATGTTCCCCTTTGACAAGGTTCCTATAAGTTTCCATTTTCAGAACCCCCCAATGTTACAGACTCAAATTTCTTTTGTTTTCAGGCATTTTTTTTTATCTTCTAGAAATTTTTTTGTACAACAGATATTATTATTAAACCTTGCCACGATTTTAAGCTAAGGTTAGCTTTCAGTAGCAGCAGTGCAACTGCTTCAAACCAATAACAGAGATTGCGTTTAAACGTTTGATGTAACACCTTACATCAAATGTAAGTTTAGAAGGTGTTAAAAACCAAATTAAAGCTAAGTTGTTAAATCTCATGATCCAAGTAAAATAAAACCTGATATTTGTTACGTAAATATATCAAACAATGGCACTATTTTCACATCTGTAAGGATCACCTGAATACAAAGGAGTCTGCATATTCATACATTTCCTAAAATTGTTCTTATTTATCTCTATCATATAAATGCCAAAGCAGATTCTGCACTTATCTAAAGACTTAAGGGTTTCTAAGGAACCTTGGAGTTACACTGAGGGCAATAATGCAGATATTGTTGGTATAATCTACAAATAACAGGAATCAATTTTCCTTCAGATTTTAAATACCCACAGAATTTTCTTTTTTGCATAAAAAAACAAACATGTCAATCTAATTTTGAAATTTTAAATTTAAACTGAGGTCTATAATGATGCATTTGACTATTTTACATCCATAGTTTAGACTGTTTATTAAAGCATCTAGGTTAATTGATCCTCTTTACATTTTACACCTAATCTTCTCATTTGTATCTTCTGAGTGGAAGATAGAATCAGAAGGAAAAATCTGATGGTAAATCATTTAAATATGAAGCTGTCCTTTAAAATTCTAGCAACATTTCTATGAAAAGTTGAAAACGTTCTGCAATGTTGACTGTCAGGTGGGAATGTGAAAGTGGTCTTTGCGATCATGTCCAGTTTTCATTTCAGCTGAGCATTTAGGAGTGTGTCATGTACAACAATAAAAAAACAAACAAAAAAAACCAAACAAACCCACGTTTCAAATAACTTCCACATTACTGAACGAAAAGGGTCAAAGCTGCTGCTTTGCACAATCTGTCCGAAATGGTTTTACAACAATGAATCTTGAAGCTGGAACTGATTTGTTTTGGTAATGTCTTCTACATTAATGCATTGAGTTTGACAACAACAGTGAAGATTTGTAGCAGTCAAGTATTTGTTCCTAATCTGTGTCCACAGCTCCCACGTGAAAATATCCAAGAATGAAGGTGCAGAGACGCTACAGATGAACAGATTTTAGAAGTGGAAACCATTCCTTCTTTTTCCCTATACATTATGATATGCAAAGAAAGATGAGATGAGAAATATGAGAAGATAAACGCGAGCAGGTAGAGTTGTTTTTTTTTGGCAGCTTTAACAGACGAACTCCTGTCTCATACGGATGATCTGTAGTAAAGCAGCCTGGACGTCCTCATCCATGTGGCCCTGAAAGACACAATCAGGTTCACTTAAAAACACATAAAGATCAATAAAGTTGATTTAAATCACTTAGTCAGTTACCAAGCCTGTATCCAAAACAGCAAAAACAAAATGTGCGCTAAAATAATGTTTACTCCGTCCTTTTTTGTCCGAGAAGGAATTTTGCACCGGAGCACAATCAGCATTTTCACGTATTTTAATAAACGTATTTTCTCATCAGTCAGTTGGCAGGTTCCACATCTTTTGCTCCCACTTCAGTAAACATCTACAGCTGTATAACAAGCACTACTTATTTCTTAAACTCCCTGGCATCCAGTGTTTTTTTTTTTTTGCGTTTTCTTACACTTTATGACTTTTCCTGTTTTTTAAAACCTCCATAGAGGAAATGTTAACTTGCTAGGCTGCATTATCTCCTTGTTCACTTATAATAAATACCTCTGGTCACCTGATCTTGTAATCCAAATACTAAAAAGCCCTTAAGTTAACAGAAAATGGACCCTAATCAGGGAGTAATGTTGCTTTTTTAACAAACAGGAAACCTGCTAAAAATTTCCCCAGTTTCTCCTGCTTTTTCTAGCCTTGAAATTCGCCTGCCCAGCTAAAGCAATTTGCACTGCCACAGAAAAAGGCTCCACCCTCACAGCTCTAAAGAGCTTTATTGGAGTCAGGGGGAGTGTTGGCCTAGTGAATAGAGCATGGTGTGCTTGTGCTCTTAGAACGTTGCAAGTACCCGGTTTGATCCCCACAGCCTGCACTCTGGGTCTCTGAGCAAGACCCTTAACCCCACACTGCTCCCAGGGCGCCGCACAATGGCAGCCCACAGCTCCCCAAGAGGATGTGTTAAATGCAGAGGTAAATTTCTCCAATATTAGATCAATTAAGTTCAATTATATGATTATTATCCATTCTCCACTTTATTCTTTGTCATTATCATTTTCCCGGTCTTCCATCTTGAATAAGAAAGCTCATCTTAACCGCTTCCTTCACTGTGGCTACCAGCTACATCTAGTCACAGATTGCATTTCACAAATAAAATGTAACAAAATGTCCACCTCCCCGAAATTCTCTTCACATACTTTGCAGGTGCAGAAGCTACCAAATTTTGCCAAATTTGCAACATTCGCTTCGCTGCTCTCCATAGCCGCCATCTACATAGAGATAACATGGAAATCCTTCGCTGCCAGCTGTGAATTTCAAGTTTGTTGTGAACGAACCTCAAAACAGAAATGAAATATAAAAAGCCAACAGGTTGCCTTGATTTGATCGGAAAGCCTTTTGTAGGTAACCAGAAAGGGCTACAGGCGTAGAAACTCCTAGTCATAGCATGTGACATGGAATGTGACATAAAATACCAAGTGTTTTGGAAAAGGAGGAACTCACGACAACTTTTGGAGCCAGAGGTTCGAGGACAACTTACCTGTGCTGCACTTAGAAGATGAGTCCTATAAATGGAAACCACCTCTCTGTGCTGCCTCTCAGCATCCTTATGGGGGGGACAAAACATGAAAGACATGAAGTTGCTTTGATGTCTGAGGCAGCAGCTCATATACTCAGGACTAAACTGCAGCATCAAAATCTCTGCAACAGTTGGAGCTACGCCAGAGTATCAGGACACATACCTACAACCTACAATGGAAATATACAGAATACTTGGAAATATTAACACTGGATAATCCAGATAGCAATGCCTGTCCACCAGCATACTTTTAATTTGAAAATAATCCAGTTAGAAACAAAGAATAAAATAATAAATGAAATGGAAGACAAAAAATTAAGAAATTGGACATTGTGATATAAATTAAAGTGAAAAGCTCTTTATTCCTCTAAATTGTTTTTTTTATTATTAGACTTAAACAACTTTTATTGTTATTTTGTGTACACAGAGCGTATACAAACGAAATTTTCTTTAAAATGTGAAGTTTGGAAACCCAAACTTTGAACTATATTTAACTTCTACTGTTTATTTCCAAGTTTTCTGCATTAAAAGCCAGCTGAAATATTGTCATCTGAACTGAAGGGAGTAAACAGCAAAGATCGATAATGTGAATAAATGAATAACTATTACTTTAGAGTAATTCTACTGAAGTATTGGTTTACTGCCCAGTCATAGAGGTAATGAGAAAATGAACTTACAGCAAGCTGCTGTTGAAGGCTCTTGATCTGTGCCTGCAGTGCATCAACTTGCTGTGTCTGTCTCTTGTTTGGGGTGTTGCTTGTGTACGCCAGGTGAGAAAGACCATTGAGGGCCTGCTTCAGTCGCTCCACATCCGTCAGTAACTCTGTGATCTACCAAAACAATATATTTTATTCCTTGAACCGGTATTTAAGCCCCTGTATCTGTAGAAACTGGTATCATGAAACAGAAAAAGTGCAGACGTGTGCAGTGAGTATTTTGGTACCTTCTTGTCTTTGGTTTCAGTTTGCTGAGCTGATGACTGGATCCTTTTCTGAAGATCACAGATTGTGCTGAGCGACTCGTCATACCGCTCTTTCAGCTCCCTGATTTCCTTCTCGATGCCGCGGCCCTTCTCCTGGACGGCTTCCATGTCGGTTCTGGCCTTGCTCTCGCCCTCTCTGGCTTGTCTCACCTCCAGATGGGCCTCTTGACACTCCTTTGTTAAACTCAGCAGCTTGCTGCTCAGGCTGGCGGCCTCCTCCTGCAGCAGCTGCTTCTCCTTCTTCAGCTCGTTCATTTGGTCCTCCTTGTGGCGTATGTCTTCCAGCGCTTGCGTGGCTTGCAGAAGCTCGGACTGCAGGGCGCTCACGTCTTCGGCTCTCTGAGCCCCGTTCTCCTCCTCCTCTTGAAGGGACGTCTGAAGCTTAGCGACCTCGGCCTCCAGGGCTTCTTTGGTCTCTCTGTGCTGCTGCAGCAGTGACGTGTGTTCCCTGCGGATTTCTTGAAGTTCTTTCTGTAGGACAGCGACCCTCTTAGCCTCCTCCTGCTGGGCCTCTCTCGCTTTCTTGCAATCGGCCTGAGTTTGCCGCATGAGATCGTTGAGGGTCGTCAGCTCTGTGTCGTAGGTGGCTATTCGGGTCAGCTCAGATTTCAGACGCTCCTGCAGACTCTGGATCTGTGTGTTGCAGGAAGCGTTCTGGTCCTGCAGCTCGGCTTTCTGAAGCGTCACCTCCTGAAGCTGTTGCTCTAAGCTGGCCAGCTTCTGGGTAACGGCCTCATATTTAGACTTGAACTCTTCCTCCACTTGTTTATGCTTTTCAGTGCTAACCAAAGCAGAGTTCAGTCTCTGCTGAACAGATTCAGTTTCTACTTGAAGTTTTTCTTTCTCCTGCTGCATGCTTTCCCAGGCCGACCTCTCTTTGTGATACTTCTCCTCCATTTCCATCAGTTTCTGCTCCAGCTCCTTCACCTGAGAGCTGTATGTGGTTTCCTTTTCCGTGGCTGCAGTCAGTGGGATAAACTTGGACTGAATAACTTCCTGTATGGTATCTAGTTCTTTCTTCTGGGCTTCCAGCTCTTGAGTGAGCTTCAGTACTTCCTCCTGAGCCGCAGCATGCAGGATCGATGCCTGGTTTGCTCGCTCTTCTGCCGCGTCGGTGGCGGCCTTCAGCTCGTCTGTGACAGCTCTGTGCTCCTTCAGACTAATACACTCTTTCTTCATCTCCAACAAAACTCTTTCCAGCTGCTTTTTCAGATTCTCGTTTCCATCTTTCACATTCTTTAGCTCTTCGACACTTTCTTTCTCCTTTGCCTCCAACTTCAATTTCTCAGCTTTAACACTTTCTAAGGTTGAACCTAACTCCATCTTCACCTTCTCATGCTGCTGCCTGGGAACAAACTGCTCCTCCACGCTGCGTTGCAGAGCCTGCTTCTCTAGAGTCAACTCCTCTCGTTCCTTTTCTCCATTCTTGCATCTCTTCTGCAGTAGTTCAATGTCCTTTTTCAGCTGGGTATTCTGCTCCATCAGAGCGTCCAGCTCCCTCTGGTTCCTGTCGCTCATCGTCTCCTGTAACGAGGCTTTTTCGGCTTGAAGCTGCTGCAGCTGAGCCTCAGCTTTCCCGTAACGTTCGCTGGCTTCCACAAGTCTGTCCTTCAGCTCTTCCAGAGCCACCACCATGTTGTTCTGAACCTCCTCATGCTCCTTCAGGGGTATAAACTCATTCTCGATCCTGCTGTTGAGCTCGTCCAGCTGCTCTCGTAGCACATCTCTCTCCTCTTCGCTCTCCTCCACCTCTTCGATAAGAGTTTGACTTTTTGCAGTCACGTCCATCAGCTTCCTTTTCAGAGCGACGTTCTGTTCTTCCAGACCAGAAACTACCCGCTGATGCTCCTCTGGAGACACTCCCTGGGATGACGGGCTGTCCAGCCTCCGGTGGAGCTCTGCCACCTCCTCCAGCACGCGGTCGTAGTCTTCCCTCAGCTCAGCCAGCTGCCGCTCCTTCTCATCCACCGCATTGGTCAGCAGGTTCTTCATGTTGTCAAACTTCTCTGCTGGGACGGTGTTTGCCTGCTTGTTCTGAGCCTCCTTCAGGCGGGTTTCCATCTTTAAAAGAGCTTCAGCCAGTTGGTCTCGTTCTGCGCTCAGAGCTCCCAGCTCCTGGCTCAGCCGCTCGCTCTCTGCAGCCAGCTGGCTCTCGCTGCTCTTGTATTCCTCTAAGGCTTTCTCGCTCTGCTTCAAGCGGTTACGAACCCGCCCCACTTCGGCTGAAGCGCCTTCGTATTTGGCCTTCACGTCCAGGAGCTGCGCTCGCAGATCTTCGGCCGCCTGGGCCCCCAGGTGTTCTTTCACAGCAACAACATGAGCCTGCAGCTGTTTGACTTTACACTCAGAGTCCAGCATCCTCTTCTGGACGTCTCCCAAAGCGTCCTCCAGCTCCTGAACCTGCAGGTCAGCCTGTTTCTGGATGGTGTCTCTGTTCTGGGACAGTTCCTGGCACTCTCTGTTCTTCTGGCTCAGTGCAGACTGAAGCTGGGCCTTCTCCTCTTCTGTGGACTGCAGTTTTCTCCTAACCGTCTCCAGTTCACGTCGAAGGACTTCAGCTTCAGGGAGATCCCGGCCTCCTGAAGTTTGGCTCCTCTGGACTTGTCTGGAAACAGGCGGGTTCTGTGGCATCTAAAAAAAAAAAAAAAAAACATCCACAAAATGGTCAAATTTGTTTTTGTTGTTATTTTTCCCCATCTTGTATCCAACCAGGTTCATTCTATGAAAATAAGCTAACATATAATTCATTTCAGCAAAGAAAGCAGGAAATTAAGGGACGCATGAATACATGTTGAATTCAGTATTGTAAAGAGTTATTTCTTTGTGTTTACACAATACAACCTGATGCAGGTTTATGTTAATTTGTAACAAGCAGCTTCATTTATGCCCTTAGCCCGCCAAGCTTTCCAAGATAACAATAAGCAATTAATGAAGTAATTGTGGTGTTAATCAGACATATAAGAAACACCGAGACAAAAATGATTAGAAAAAACTGTATATCTATTATTAGTACATAATCCCGACTATATTAGAGGATGCTTAGTTTAAGCCCAGGAAGCAAATGAAAACTTACGTGATTAAGATCCAGACTGTAAGCTTGCTTGACTAAAACTTTTTCTTTTCCTGCAGGACGACACCAATACTATGTTAACTCTCAAGATGTTTAGATAAACTAATGTTCAATTATTTCACTCATTAGAAAGAAGAGTCTGACCTTTGATAACAGACTGGCCTGAGTACTCCCCCTGTTAATATAGAGAGTGAACATTATTTAAGATGTTATAGACCTTAAAGACAGAATACTGTTTAAAGAAATGTAGCATAATCTGTATTTTATCAGCAATATATTAAAAAAACAGATCTATTAGGGAAAGCAAACATGGATGATAAAGTCAAATCCTCCAAGCTTTTAAATCTGAAATGTTATTGCAACCAATCACTGACCAAAGCACTCCGCAGCTGAACTCTGACAGTCTCTGGACTGCGGCCTCCTTCCTCTTTGTCTTTGGCACCGAGAAACGCCTTCAGCTGCTCCTTCTGATCCATTAACAGAAAAGTGCAGCAGTGATTGTATTGAACTATGTGATATGAGCAACAATGGCAAATAATAGAGAGGCGCTGAAATCTCTATTTTAAACCTTTCTGAATGTAAAGTGGACCAAGAAAATCAAGACATCTACAGCAAACAGCTGAAGTGGCTCCATTTGTAACATAACCACTGGTTTATGCTCAGAAACCAGGTCATCTGTATGTGTGTCACAGTTAAAACAGATAAGCCCCGCCCCTTCCGCAGACACTGTGATGCACCTCTCCAAAATTGTAGGTGAGCGCAGACAGTGCTGCAGACAGGAGGCCTCCAATTGGTCAAATCTACATCCACTCCAGATTACGCATATTTCCTGTTTGGTACCTTAGCAGCTTGTTTTGTTTGTATGACCGCCATTGTGGAAAACGACTCGTGAAGACAGACCAGCTAGAACAGCGAGGTGTGTGAGAACGCTGGGACCCCTTTTCCACCTGGATCCCCACTCTTTTTTGCCCTCATGTCCCTCCGTTGTCGGACATACAGTACTTGTTTTCCACTTCCCAACCACCTCGGCCGTAACTAGACCCACAGCTAATTTGCGATTCTCCCGCTTGCATTGTGGCGTATAATAACAGCACAGACCACGCTTCAATATTGGGCATAAATCAAAAATAGCTGCGTTATACCTGCGACAAGCTCACTGCGACACACTGCTGCGGGAGTATAACCAGCCCTTAAGATTTAGTTACTTTTACATCTATATAAAGACAATAAAATCCTGTAATAAACACACTGCATCTGTAATAGATTATAAACGTTTGCCTCCGAGTCCCAGCAGGATCCATTTCCCTCGTGTTCTTTATGGACAAAATGGACCCTCTGGTGGTCCTTAAAGCAGAGATAAAATCTAGCAGCTAGTCCCCAGTCTACTGGAAAATAAGTACTTTCTATATTTCGGAGGACTGTAAGCTCATTTTTATTCAATGTGGTTTCTCAGCAAAAGTAAAAACATTTATAGACTTTCCTAAAATGCTCTTACCTCTTTTTGAGAGTCTTCCACAGCCATCTTTTCCTGCAGATAGATAATTGTTTTACGTTGCTGTAGATTCATGCATTAATATATCTTTACTATGTACAGTCATCTATAATAATTTACAAGAGCCTTATTGTCACTGAGCTCCTAATTTTTACTAAGGAAAAAAAGAAGCAAACAAAATAAAAAACCTAATACAATCCATAAATCCAGCATACCTGTGTGAGCTGTTGTTGCAGCAGGTTGACCTTATCTACCAGGACTATCTGCTCCTGGTGGTACTTCCTTAGGCCGTCCTGAAGGGCCTCATTCTGCCTTTCCAGATCCTAAAGGGGGAAACACAAAAGCAGATTTAACTCTTCATTATGGACATCGATAAAACGTTGATAGAAAACGGTTTTAGTCATGTAAGCTTTAGAGCATCGGGTCCAAACCAAAATGAAAACATGTGTTAATGTCCTCCTGCTCTTACATATATGATCTGATCCTTCCTGATGGACTCAGCTGCCTCCGATCTCTCCACTGAAAGCTGGAAAAAAACAAAAAAAAAACACAAACTTTAACTTATTCTTGCATTTGATCACTAGAGGGCAGTCATGATCAACTCACAAGTAATGTAGGATAATAGACACAGCTTATATTAATATTTTAGAAATAGAAGGACAAACTTAAGCTGGATTAAGAGAGAATGAATGCATTATTTTAACAAGAGGTAGACTGATGATGTGAGTGAATCCAGCTGGATTACCTGCCGCCTCCACTGTTCGATCTTTGCCGCCTCTTTTTCTGCAACAATACCAAAGAAGTTCTTACTTTCTCTTTTTTTTTTTTACAACAAAAGTTTAAAGTGAATGCAGCAGACAGAAATCAATGTAAAGATTTTTAAAAGACTGTAAGTCATGATGACACATCCTCCATCATTAATTACAGACAAAGCCCTGCCTCTTACTCTGACCTCTGGTGGCCTTATCAAGGTGGCTTTTGACCAGTGCGACGAGCTCTTGGTTGTTGCTGAGACGAGCGTAGTGAAAAGCATCATGACCCATGTTGTCGACTGCTTTCACATCGATTCCAGTCCTCAATAACACCTCCACGGCGTCTTTGCAGCCAAACTCGCAGCCCAGAATCAGAGCGGTCCTTAGGGAGCCAACAGACAGGTTCTGGGTCAGAGCATGTCCAAGCTAGCTTTACACAAAGATGACCAGGTCTTTCAAACGCTAAACAAAAAAATAAGTTTTCTTTAATCCCCTATCAGGTGTAATAAGTATTAAAGTCGAGTAATTTGATGAAATATCTGGATGTAACAAAATTAACATGCTCTACATCTAGCGGTATTAACGACCTGCACTCTGACACAAGCAACACTGCAAATAAATGTTATCTAAATAAGTCATTTTTTCTTAAAATAAGTGCATTTTTTCTTAAAATAAGTGCATTTTTTCTTGAATTAAGGATTTAAGTGAGACACTGTGCCAATGGAACAAGACAATTTACACTTAAAATAAGAAAAAACAATTGCATCGTCTTATTTATTGTCTTATAATATCTAGATACCTTATTTTAAAAGTAAAAATACTCATTCAATTGGCAATTCATCTTATTTACCTGCTCAAATTAAGGGTAAATACCCTTAATTTAAGACATTTTTACTCATTTTGAGATAATTTTTACAGTGTACTATGTTGCAAATGAAAAATATTGCAATGTTACAGAAACAACGCTTCAGTGGGAAATCCAACTTATCAACCTGCATTCTTTGGCCAAATCAGCTTTTTGTCCGGAGCTTGGATTAAAAGTGATCAAAGGCAACAGTGGACAGTCTTATCTAAGACAAACAGCCAGAGGGGGAGCAGGAACTTACTTGTTCAGTTTGTCTCTGACAGTGATATCAGCCCCTCGATCCAGCAGCAGCTGACATATTTGCGGATGACACATCTGTGTGGCCAGTATCAGAGGAGTCTTGCCATCCTAACAAAAACAAAAGAATATTTAACATATGTAAACAAAAAGCTATATCTTTCATTCAAGTCATTTACAAAGAAAAAAGTATATACTATTGCTAAGATTGCCTTAGATTTTATTGCCACTGTCAAGGCAAAAAAAAAAAAAAAAAATTTCAGAACAAAATATAAAAACATAACTTTTCTACTTTCAAAAACAAGCCTTAACTTATTATATATGAAATTAATGGTAGAAATAATTCTTACAAAATCAGCAGTGTTCACAGAAGCCCTTTTATCACAAAGAAGTTTCACGCTGGAGGTGCAGCCCGCCATGACTGTGGAGATAAAAAAGCAGCACACCTACAATTATGTTGCTCCATTTAACATGAAGAGGTACATTCTGATCCACTTAACTCAGGCTGCAGTCAGTGGGCCTAGAGCCCAGAGAGGCCTGTAGGAATCTAGAACAACTGATTTGATGTGGCATATATTAAAAGCAAAGAAGCATGTGAAAGTCCTTGTGATGTTATTCTACAACAGGAAGGGTCTGGGTCTTTGAGAGTGTACCTCTAAAAAGGACAGAGTGGAGTAAATTAAACTCGGAAGGATAGTAAAAGGAGCTTAGGTTCATTGCCATTAAAAACAGCCCGTCTCCTTACAGAGCTCTACTGATGAAATATCTCAACTGTGTGCAAGTCCAAACCGCTGCTACGCCATTTAATCTTAATTTCTTTACATTATTCAGAGGTAGACTTCCTGGACCGTTTTGCTTTTTAAGATCTTCAGGTTATCAGGGTGGGTTCAATAAATGTAAATTTTTTAAAGTGTGATCCAGCAATAATCAGTTCTGATTGAGACTACACCTAAAGAAGTGGTTATTCACATTTAATTCATAGATCTAAGAATGGGGTACAAGGGTTAGTTTCTATACCGTTTTTCTTGATAAACAAACAGCTCAGTGTATTTAGCCAAGTCACCTTTTTGTGAAATGGAAACTATTAGATTGTATTTATTTTTTAGAACATTACAGACCTAGAAAGAAAATATCTCTAGAAGAAAAAAGGCTGTACTTAAGAAAGTAGGATGTAGTCATTTTTTTGAACATGTAACATTGTGAAATCCAACAATCCAAATAATACAGGTGTACAGTAGAGTCAAGTCCCAGCAGGAGTAGTATGAAGTCAGGTGTAAATTATCTCTAACTGTGCTGAATGAAGCCATGTTAGCTACAGTTCTGTAAAGCCGAGCTCAGCCACCAACAGAGGAGCCTTACCAGCATCATGCAGAGCAGTTCGTCCTTGTAGGTCCACGTTTCCAACAGGACAGTTGTGCTACAAGAAAATAAAAACACCTTCTGAATATTTTGTATTCTTAACTTTCTTGTTAGCCCATCTTAATGGGTTAACCAAACAAAGTCAGATTGTGGATCCAGGAAGTTAAAAGTTTAATTTATCCATTAATCACTGGTTTTGGGACAAAATTAGAAACATACATGAAAAAAGGTTTGCTCAATATAAGGAACACCTCCATTTTATACCTCTATATAGAATAAAGGATTGCTGCAAAGTCTGTGACTCAAGCAGCCAAGTTTCACTTGATAGAAAGTTTTTCCAAAGAAGATGAACTTGGATGTATTTTTTTTTATTTTGTGTTTCATTTTTAAACTTTGATCAAATTTGAATGTGTGTAACCGACTTTGAGGCTGGTCTTTTATCGGATTAAAAAGCTTTGATATTTCTGTCATTAAAGAAGATTGTTGGAGGTGTAGGGGCCTTGGCACAGTATTAGTTGTAAATGGAGCTGTAAAAAAATCAGGTGAATTAAAAGAGGCTTAATTGAATTCAACAGCCATATCCAGGCAAACGATTTCTCATAGCAGCTGCTTATAAAAGATTATTTTTATTCAAATAAAACAGACATGTATGCAAAATACAAATACACACTCAGTGATTGTTTAGCCTTAGTCTATGCCTTTTCCTTTGTCGGGTTAATTTTAACTAAGGCTATGCATGCCCAGTTAAATTGACCAGGGTAGACCAGAGTTGTTTTAAGAAAGAAAAGAACTGAAGAATCACAAACAAAAACTGGGCAAGAGTGCATAATTTAGTATGTAGAGTGAACCACAAAGCCAAGGTAACGGACTCTTGGTATAACAGGTTAAAACTGTGATCCTGTCTTAGTATGACTGAAGCTTAAAGCTGACTCCTACTTCTAAATAATTGGACATATCAATTGCCGTCTTTTCTGTAATCGTATATACACATGAGAAATTAATTTAGTATTAAACTGCACAAAATACATGTAACTGCACTTAGTTTGTGCAGGTAAATGAGATAATCTACCAAAACAAAGATTTTTGCTATTAAAAATAAGATAACTAGATATAAAAATGTTTTCTTGATTTAAAAATAAGTCTTATTCCATTGGAAAATTCTCTAACCTAGCTGCTCATATCAGCTGTGCTGTTGCCATCAACACCTTTGTTTATAGATGTTGGAGCTTGGCCTGTTTTTCAATGTTGTCCTGTTTCTCTGATTGTGACTGGGTGGATGTGCTCTCTTCATCCTCTGACATGGGAGCTGGCTCGGAGATCGCCTGCCTGACTATGTTTCCTGGACGGGGCCGCCTTTGGAGCTGGTTGACAAGTTCCTTTGTATCTCTGCTTCTTTCCGTATATCTGCTTCTGTTTCCTTGAACCCCAGTCTGCCTCAGCAGATGGCCGCTCACACTGAGCCTGGTTCTACTGGAGGTTTCTTCCTGTTAAATGGGAGTTTTTCCTCTCCACTGTCGCTACAAGCATGCTTAGTGTGAGGGATTGCCTTCGAGTCAAGGAGTCGATGCAATCAACTGGTATTGCATAGATAGAAAACTGAAGCAATCTGCCTATGATCTGGTGAACTGTAAAGTGCCTTGCGATGACATGTGTTGTGAATTGGCGGTATATAAATAAACTAAATTTAATTCAAATGAAAGGAAAATACACTTATTTCAAGAAAAATTGTCTCAGTTATAGTTAATTTTTTGCAAAGTATGTTTTCAGTAAAGGGGACAGGTCCAGTTTTGCATGTACATGCATGTGCATCATATGCATATGACGCAATTTAAACATGCCTGTAAACTACGGCATGTACAACCTTTTTCCAACTATATAATCCAGTTTACTGGATCACATAATTGGATCTGAAGTTGATTGTGAAATATAGATAATACAATGATTAAAGGGAGGGTTTAATAAAATGTTCACACTGGGGATAAAGAAGACAGCGGTTGGCCGGTCATGACGTCTGATCAGTAGCAGCAGGCAGTTTCCATCATAGACGATGGTGATGTGCTGAAATGCTTGTGATGTGTCTGAACTCTCACTCAGCTGGTCGTACACCAGTGGCTGCACTACTGCACCGATGAGGGGCCGTGATGAAAGCCTTGAGAACTCTATGCTAACAGGGGCCTAATGTTGCTGGGTAAGCTTGCCGGCACCTTCTGCTCACCCTTCCTCCCGATAATAACCCATCTCTCTCTAGCAACAAGTGGCAAAAATTATCTACAAGCTCAAATGATCACGCAGTGAGGGAGGGCTGCCAATGGGGCCTGATGGTGATGAGTCAAGGGGAGGGGGGATATCCTATACCTGGAGGGTTGGCGCTGACTGAGCTAGATAAGGGAGGCAGTGGGAGCTGGCATCATGCTGCCAGGGGGGAGGTGTGATGACGGCACTAAGAATGGATGAGGGAGAGTGGGAGGGTGAGCTTGTCAACACGGCTGACGATCCCCTGCCAGCAGCCACAACCTCCATTAGATCATTGCCATGTAAGAGATGGAGGCTGGGGAAAGGTCTTCAACTATATGAGAACACAATGTCGGAGTGAAATCCCTCGCATTGTAAACACATAAACCCCCAGAGGGGCATGGTGACTCAACAGGGCCCATTGTTGACTGATATGGAGCGGGATCAGTGGCCAGAGTAGTTTGGCAATAATTATTCAAGGAACAACTGCTCTGACTGACCGCCGACTGGAGCAAAAATACAGCAGCATGTAGACAAACAGCATGTGTGCAGGGATAGGAAAGAGTACAGATGAATAATGAACAGTATTTCTTTTGTTCTCTCATAGGTAAATAAAAGTAAAGTATAATAAAATGCACTTTACCTGCAGGAGTTTCTGCACACACTGAGAATTCCCGTACTTTGAGGCCAGATGAAGAGCGTTTTTACCTAATGGAGGCAGTTGGAACAAGTCTAATTAGAATCCATATTGAATGGAAGTTCCTTTCAAATTCATAGAGCCCAATGTTAGAAGGCTCCTCAACAACAAGACTAGGTGAACTAGGTTGTTATGTTACTCAAATCTCAAACTATCATTACTACTCAATGATTAATAAAGCATTTGGATGCTACTTCATCTTTTTACAAACAAAGAGAGATTGCTGATTGGAAATTTTGCAGAGATGATTTTCAGAGGGACAAAATATAGCAATAAATAAATGTGAACAAGTAATGAAATAAGTGTGAATTCCCCATGAAATGAACACATCCAATATGAAATAAGGAAATGCAACATTTATGCATTTAAGACATGGTTTAAACACAATAATACATTTAATTGTTAAATGCCCTAATGTATAATTAAATTTTGAATAAAATTATTAAAATGCATTGAAAAGTTCTTTGTATCAGGGGGTCTCCAGTCTGATGTTGTTATTTTTTTGACCACAGGCTATAAAGTGTGGAAGCCCTAGCTTCAAACAATTCCTTTGTTTTGCAATGATAACATTCAAAGTTTTTTTAAATGGTGCATTCAACATAAACATTACTGTAGTCCAGAGCAGAGAGCCAGCCTGCAGGACTCTTTATTAGTGTTTGGGCTTAAGTATAAACACTAATAGTAACCTAAACAACATTTTTACTGCAACTATACATTAGCTGAACATTTTATGTCCCGCTTGAGGGGTTACATAGTGTTTGCTAAACAAAACTTACCAGAGGCATCTTTTGCAGTGATGTCAACATTGTGTCCCAGCATGAGATTGAGACATTCAAGCTGTCCCCGAGTGGCTGCCAAATGAAACCTGGGGGTGTGCATAAATTGCAGAAGATATGACAGGAAAAACAAATATGAGATGGATATGCCAGTGAGGAGACAGAAGAGATTTAGGACAGGCAAGTGAAAAAGGAAAGAAGGAGGAGGGTGAAATTTAAGGACTAACTGAAAATGGAGACCTGGCTCCATACTGACAGCAAGATCAGCATTCTTGAGGTACACAACAAGAACCCTCCATGATAACCAATCAGAAGATAATATGATGCGTTAAGTTTAGGAGAGCTCTTTTAAATGGAAAAACAAAACCATGGCATTTATGGAGTATTCAGGTCAAGAATGTATGGTGGAAGTGGGCTAAAAAAATTCATAATGCTTCATTTTCTGTGTAACAACAGACTAAAGCTTTGAAATGATACATGTTTTACATATTTAGGAGCAGCTCTGCCTTGAAAATAACCTTGTAAGTTTGTTGGTTTCACAACACATCTCAGATAATCAACCCTAACCTGAAAGATCCCAGTTGAAATTCATTGATGTAATCCACAGTCAGTCTGCTGCTACTAGCAATGAAGGGCTGCAAAGCCACTGTATGTAAACTAATCTCGGCCTGTTACCCCTCACGCCACATGAAGCCCTTTATACACCAGGCCAGAAGTATCTGCCAAGGAGACAGCTAGGCTGTCACCTCAACACTGGCGTGGATATTAAAAGCCGTGTTGATGGCGAGGAGATGCTGCTCCTCTCTGGAGCAGTGGAGGGTCACGACCCCACAGGGGCAGAAAGCAGACAGGAAGCAGACCAGAGCAAAGCATGTTTGGTGAACACATGTGACAAGTTCAATAGCTAAAGCATATTTCATATGACACCCAAATCACTATGAGCAATTTGTAACATTTCAGGGGAAATCAAAAATCAAGGAGGTGCATTTTTTGTAGTAATGTTCAATTACGATGAGTCAGCAAGATGTGACTGCACATACAAAATATTAGGATGTTAAAGAATTATCTCCAAAATATTTTAACTCCCACATATGTCCTTTCTTTGAAGAATTGCCTGATGTTAAATCAGGAAGTACTGAGATAAAGAAATTCATATGGAGGATTTTTCAAAGCGAATACTTTCAGCTGAATCTCCATACAGTGCCTTGAGATGACATGTTGTGAATTGGCACTATTTAAATAAACTGAATTGAACGGAATCTCACTTCCTCTGCTGGCCCTTCAGACCTTTGCAGCTGGTCACTCCAAAATCAGTTTTCTCAGGTTACGCTGTAACAAAGCAAATAGCTCCCAAGAAGATTCATAACATGCTTAGAAATGTGCCTTTCAGAGAGTAGAGATGTCATTTCATCTTCACCCTCTAAAGGATCTGCCTGCTATTTTTAAAGGAAAGAGAAGAGGGACCTATAGACTATATGGTTGAAGTGGTTGAACCATTTCTGATGGATATGTACTGTATCTAAAGTCTTTGGTTAATTAGCAGCTGTGATCATTTAGAAATGCCTTAGCAGTTTTCTTATGCTTAACAGCTGTATTGACATCTAGACTGTTTTTGTCCAGAAAACTTTTTAAAATACCTTTAAAAGATGCAGTTTGTGATGGCTGCTTAGCTTGAGTGGTTTTTCTTTGCACACTTCTGTGCTAGAAGTCATATAATCTGGGACTTTAACGGTTAAAGGTATAGTGGAGGATGTTCTTTTTCTGGGTGGATCATCAAAATAAGTGGTCCTCCTAACTGTCAATCATTCTGGTGATATGTTTACGTAAGTCCATCCTTTGTGCTCGTCCCCATTTTCACTTATCGGTGATGAGTCTGACATAGCGGAAAAATTGCAAATCTTCTTTTAGAAAGTTTGTATGAGCGATGCAAGCAGCAACTTTTAAACCGAGCATGCACGAGTAAAAGGGGCTTGTGCACGCTCTTGCACATGTTTAATAAATCCTTTATCCTTTATTGTCCCACAAAGGGGAAATTCACTCTCTGCATTTAACCCATGCCATCGGGTACAGGGTTGTGCATATGAATTTTTCTTTTTAAAAAGCATTAAAAAAATGTGAAAATCCTTCACTATTTCTTTTAATAGCAGCCTTTTTTCTAATAGCTTCAGCTAGTAGCTTTCTAATTTCAAAGTGTTTTGAAGCATTTTTTTCTATAGCCGTACTGCAAAACCATTTAGCTCACAGAAGCCAAAAGCTAAGGGTGAACATTTATCGTATTGTTTATTGTTGTTATCAGTTCTTGGTCATGACAAGAATTTTGAAAATCGTCTACATGTTATATTAGACTCAATGATGAATAAAAACTCTACAAACTGGGCAAGTTGTCAAATTTTTTATTTGTAGTTTTCCTTTTTGCCGTTTTATTTATTTTTCGTTGGGATTTGGAAAAATATGATTCGGTTACTATGAGCTGTTAAGTGATATAAATCATCCTTCTTTATGTAACTGGTGTCCTGAAGAAGCCAAATTTCAATGTGTATGTTCTTCAGAGTATGACTTGAGATTGTAGGGCTATGATTGCTGTGGTAAGCAGTGGAGGCATACAGTTACATAAGAAAGACTGCGAAGATGTAAAGTTTTTTTTTTTTTATTGTTATCATGATAATTTCGCTAATATCTGGACAAGATTTGAATTGCATATCACTCAGCCCTAAAAGGCATATAAACGGGACAGATGTTTAAGATTTGATTGATCAGATTCAGGATATTTTGCAGTGATTCCTTTAATTAAAGCAGCAGGATTTTCTATGATAAATTAGCAAAGATTGGGTAATATTTACATGAAAAAAAATTGGCAAGAACTATTTTAAGTGATCAGAAAATTGTTATTTTTAAAAACAATATAGGGATAATTGTATGATTTGAGAACCTGCATTTGATCAGATTAATTTCTAAATATACATTTTAACATAGGAATACAAATGGTGAACAGAATCATTAAGGTCTCCTCTAGGGGCCAGTGTGCAATCATTCAGACTGGCTTTGCTGATGGACCCTTACGTGGCACAATGGCACAGAGTAAGTAAAGGTTATACAAGGAGTAAGTAAAGGTTATGGGTGGGCCTGCCTCACTGGGACCCAGCTGATGCCAGAGGAAAGATGTAAACTGTTTACTCAGCTGGAGCTCCAGTCAGAAGCACTTGTGCTGAATTCATTAGCTGAACAAAGTGAGGCTAATCCGGGGCGAAGCAGATCATGTACAGGGGGTAACAGTTTGTAATTAGTTTCTCCACAGAGGTTCGTGATTACAGGGATTCACCATTCAACATTCCAATGTCGGCCGGGATGCCATAGACGTATGTGGTGTGTGTGTGTGGCCCTGGTCAAACTATAAACAGACCGTCAGAGCTGTGATTATGGCTTGTTTTTTTTGTATTTTGGACAGCACTGGTAAAAGTTTGACCTCTTTTTTATAACACTAAGTTCCTGTAAGTAGATTGTTTGGTAGACTAGTTCAGAGCAGTCTAAACAGCAAATAATGACTAACTGTTTGGGTCCAACAGATTCTAGTCTGGTCAACCACAGTCTGGAATGAATATAGTTCTGCCTATTTTCAACAACTTGTCAAAAGCAGATATTTTGTAGACTAATGTTTATCAAGATGCATCCACTATACATGATGATGGCTTCTTTACTCCCACTAGTAAATTCAACATGACCCTTTGCTTCACTGATCTGGTTCTCTGGTTAATGAGGCCTTACTTGTGTGTTAGTCCTTCACTCTGAACTCCTCTTACTTCAACCAATCTTATGATTCCAGCTTAGCAGCAAAATACCTAAATATCTGGGTATTTGTTGGTTCAATAAAGCCAACTTTGATTCCAACTGAAAAAAGCTCCAACATGGTTCTCCAAGAGGTCAGCTGAACCCAATAATTTCAGCCGCTGAGCCTAAATAGATTAGTTATTGTTGGGAACAACTTAACGCATCTGATCTGACTTGGAAGGGAGTCATTTCCTGCAGGGACTACATAAACAGCCTGTGGTCCGTGTGGTCAAGCTTTCAGTGTCCACAAACATTCTCGATGCCAACTCCCACACTGACCTCAAGAAGGCTGGAGAGGAAAAGAGGGAAACAGCTTAAAGAAAACAGACATCCAAAGATATAACTGGAATATCTGTTCTTTGAAGGGCAGCTGGATGAAGCTTTTATCAAATGTTGCACGTTTCAAGGAGGTGAGAGATAAAACTGGTCAGCCAATCATGGAGGAATCTCCAGGCTAGATCCCTTATCTGGGGGAAAGGACATGGAATGTCATGGATGCCTTTGTGGTGCAAAGAGCACTGCAATGTCTTAGCAATGCGTCTTCTAATTTTTAATTCGTTTTTATAAGAAGCTTTAAGGTTCTTAGGGCATTTTTTCCATGTTTAAGTTGGTACATTCCAAAAGAAAAAAAAAAAAAACTGCAGATGTCAAACTTTTAATATCAGCATATTTATGTTTGTCCTGTTTACTCACGCAGAGCGTCCCTCCACGTCGAGCTTGGTGGGAATGATGCCCTTCTTGCCGAGAACCGCAGCGACTTTGTCCGCCTCGCCACGTTCCACCGCCTTCATCAACCGATCATCGTACTTGTTCCAGTCTGTGTTCTGTCATCAACAAGATAAACCATCAGAACTGACAGAACTGAATGTGTATTTTCCACAGAGACTTGACTGAACATGTAAGAATATCTGCTGCCATATATGGAAGAAGACCCTTGTGGCTTCGTGGATTTACAGGAAAATGGATCAGTCTTATATTTATTTTGGGGGGGACCGACATAACATTTTTTTTTTTGCAGAGGTTTTCCAGACAAACATAAAACAATGGCTGAGTCAGACTGATACTCTTCCACAACAATAGTTTGGGACAGAAGTTATTGCAGGAACATGCAAGGAATGTGAAGTACAGCAATCCCGCGAAATCAGCACTAAATCACATCACCGCATGAGTGACAGCTACAAAACATGGGAACAGAGCCCTCCTCCACAGAAAACAACAACATGATCTAAATAAAGAACATAGCCCAGTACAATCACAGAGAACTTGTAAGAGTGTAGAAACAAAAACCTTTCATCAAAATACCTTAAATACATCCTTTCGTTTTCTACTACATGGTCAGACTTTATATATGGTCATGAACATTTTTACCTGTAAAATATTTGGTTGTGACTTAATTAAACAGACAAAACCGTAAAAACAGAATACATACAAAGTGCATGGAGGTGCATTTCAGCCAGCGGCTCATCTTGGGTGAGTGGAGCTGGTCCTTGCACCGTGCTACTGAAAACGTTGCCACTGTTCCGGTTATCAAAAAAAAAAGGAAAAGAAATATTTACAAAAAACTTTTCTTTCTCCGTGCACTCAGCCAGTGAGTGCAACGAAACGGAGAAGACAGAAGGCGAGAGTCTTTCCAGCAGTGAAGTTTCCTCTTACTAGAGGCAGAAAAGTTAAATTTTCAAGATTTTCTAAGCATTCCTTTAGTGCTTAGGAGCTGTGCTTGCAATTCCATCACTGCTCAGCAGCTTTGGTTGATAGTTAGATGGAGGAGGAGTGAGAGGGGGAAAAGGAATGGAGGTGGAGAAGCAGTAGGGCCAGCCCTGCCAGCACCGGGACCTGCCCTGGCCGGCAACTGCAACTCCTCCTCAGGAGGAAAAATCAGCTCAGTGTGGCTGCCTCTCACCTCCGACGGCCGCGGCTCCCCCTACCCCTGCCTTCCTCCTTAAACCTACTTAGCTCAGTCTTCTTCTGTTTAAACAATATTGGTTTCTGGAGTCTTGTTATCTTGAAAAGCTACTTGCTTATCAAGAAGTAAGCAGACCGCTCCTCCCTTTGCCTCTTCTCTTCACGGTTAGTGGTTTTAGCTTCTGCACACCACCAAATGGCAAGGTCAGTCAGACTCAGTGGGGTAAATATGCAAGCTCTCTGAGGTCTAAAATATCACCCCCTCCCTGGTAAACAGCAGCAGCGCAGACAGCCCCTCAGACTGGTTACCTCTTTATTTTTTGACCCTCCAACCTTTCTGTAGAGACTAATAGGAAGACAGGAGCTAAGAATACATTCTGGGCATGCCAGTACAATGAGTAATGGCTTTGGTGTCTTTCACCACTGCCAACATAAAACAAGGCCAGCCAAAAAAATCTTGCTTACATTGCCCCCCCCTTCTCCTCCACTACCTCCAAAGTGAAAATATTAATGTCAGAGATTATTGGAAGTGGTCTTGGCAAAGACCCTCAAAGGACACGACGGAGCCATAACCTCCAGATCAGACATCCATCATGAGCGGGTGCTGGATCTCCTAAGCTCTGTGATCCTTGCAGCAAAGTAGTAAAGCTTGATCAGGCGTCTTGCACTTAACTGTAAGAAACTTTAACCACACATTCACAGCTCAACTTCCACCAACTTACTACGACACAAATCAAAAGCAGAGCTTTTCACTTTTATGAGGCAAAACCTCATGAGGGAGAATGCGCAACCACAGCAAATTGAGAAGAGGAGGAGAATGTATGGAGGGCCCGTTTAATTTACACACAGCATCAGCTCCCTGTGGGCTCTGGTTACCGCCTGCTGCCAGACTGGCGTTTACAGAGCAACAGTGATATTCACAAACATGCAAAAAGACCTCCTCCACATGACATGTCATATGAAGAAGTAGGTGTCAACTTACGAAAGCTGCTCACCCTTGCATGGAGACAAAGACGCCAAAATGGCACATCGCCATTGCATACAGCGGTCACGTAAATATCTCACATGGGTGCACTTGTGTGTGGATTTGCTTAGGAATCCGTTTATGTACTAGTTAATAATAGGGCTGTTAGCAAGCAAGAGTTGGAACGATGCTTGTTACACAAAAGAGATTTCTAGATACTCGATTACTCAAATGTCCTTGACGTAAAGAATGAAGGTTTTGTGCTTTTTGTTTTCATTTAGCTCAGAAAAACTCAATGTTTCACCCAAAAGACACCATGACAAGCTTCTCTAAAGTTTTGCTCTTATTCTTTCTCATATGCTGAAACAATACAGGTCCACATTGCACTCTATTCAATTCAAAAACACTTTCCTAAACCAAAAGATAAATAGGATGTCGCAAGCTTTCTAAATTTCGTTTAACCTCTCAATCGCAAATAGATTCTCCTGGAGGTTTTGCTCAAAATATCAGGCCTAAATATAATCAAGGTTTCTTCAGCAGTCACAATTGTATTTATATAGTATTGGTATCAAAATAAAGCCAATAGGCCTACTTGAGAGATCCAGAAAATGAGGATAGCTCATAGAAAAATAAGACCTTTTTTTCCCCTTGCCAGACTTTATTTGCATTATACAGTATATAAACCTTTTAAAAATATAAATAAAGGGACAAACTTTTGGAAACCCCTGTGGACAGCCTGTGCAAAGACTCATGCAGCTGAGGTAAATCCTTTTGGCACAGTTTCACACATTTTGGCACCATCTACAAAACTGATTTTCCCTCATTAGATTTTGTTTCCTTGTAAAACTTAAACTTTACTTGTCTAAGATATCTTGATATTATTTTTTTTCAAAACACATTTATTCATTCTTTGATCATACTTTTAACAAAACAAGAAACTTCTGTGTTTGACTCTAACTGAAGTAAATGTACTGAACATCCAGCCCAGAAACATTTAATAAAACGCAGATATTTAAATAAATCAAGAATCACCAAAACATATTCACTTTTCTAGAGCACTGAACTGAGGTCATCGTGCCACTTTTAATACGTGTTTACACCTTGGAGAAGTCAGCCTTACACCATCAGCAATACTTCCATAACAGGGTGATGGTGTTGGGTCAATGATAGTTATAGAGATTCGGAGAGCGCTAGTGATTAGGACTGAAACAATTTATCGGATTAATCGTGATTAATTGATTATTGAAATATAGTCAAGTAATTTAGCAATTGATTAACTGTTAAAGTTATACTGGAGGATTTTTGCAAATTTATGAAAAGACACGCCCTCTACACTAAAATGCGCATGCACAACCTTGTCCCGGCTCCCGAGACAGAACGCATATTAAAAGCGTGCAAGAGCATGCACAAGCCCATTTCTCGTCGTTTTTACTAGCAGTGATGTGATAACGATTTCTCCAAATAGCATGCCAAACTTTACCTGTCCAGTAGAAACTTTGAAACCGAGGCATCAGTTGGAAGCCCAACCTGTGCTTTTTTCTTCTCTTCTCCTACACTTCGTAGACACTTTTTCTCTTACGACCCTCGGCCATTTTCAAAGAACAGCGGTGAGAAAGGTGAGCTTCAATGACTGTCTGAAACCGTTGCTTATACATATACGCCGAAAAGTGTGCACGAGCACAAAAAGATAACTAACTGGGGACGAGCACGTAAGACGGCCTTATGTAAACATAACGCCAGAATGATTGACAATTAGGAGGACCACTTATTGAGATGATCCACCTGGAAAAAGAACATCCTCCACTATACCTTTAACTGGAGTATAGAGATGGTGCCTTTAGATCAGCGGTCCCCAACCACCGGGCCGCGGGCCGGTACCGGGCCACACAGAAAAAAGTATATTTTATATATATATATATATATATATATATATATATATATATATATATATATATATATATATAAAATTTATCGGAAAATCAGAAATGAAAAATAAAAATTGATTGTACAGTAGGGAAAATACACCCTTCATGAAAACAAGACTGGATAACGACTGAAGTTGCATGGAG